TCCTTCCATGACACAATAATGCCTTTAATACATATAGTTTTTTAATCATGAAGTCAGCATTTAAAAGGATATCTATTTTAATATAACAATTGAAAAAATTCACGGTAAACGAAAGAATCAAAGTGTACATAAATATTGCAAAAGAACACACACACGCACACGCACAACTTAATTTAAAAACTTACTAATCATTGCTTCATATTTTACTGGATAATCAGAGTTCTATGGAAGTTGCATGTTGAGTGCAACTTTCGATACGAAACCATATTGAAATCTTGAAGAAAACCTACTTACTGCAATAATATAACATACATCCTGTATTTTCAACAAATTTCAATTTTTCTAGGAGAAAAACTTTCAAAAGAAAAAATGTTCCGATTGTAAAATATATGTTCCGATCGTAAAATATATGTTTCCATGGGAAGAACAATTGTTCCCATAGAAAAAAAAATGTTCCCATAGGAAGAATAAATGTTCCCATGGGAAGACAAATTGTTCCCATGGGAAAAGGTAAATTCCCATGGGAACTTTTTGTATTCTTGTTTTCCCATGGGAACTTAAAATTCCTATGGGAAACGTCTTTCTCAGATGGGAACTTTAAATTTCCCATGTGAACTTCTAATATTCACATGGGAATTTTTAAATTTCCCATGGGAAATGTACTTTTAATCAGCTGTAGTGACAACAGTGACATCGTGGGACATAAGGGAAATTTCTTTTTTTAATTATCTATCACTTGCAATTTTTTTTATCTTGTAAAACAACAAAATCAGATTTGCCTATTCTGGTGTGGCAAATTTGTCTCGCACAGTGTTAATTACTAAACTGCAGTTAGATTACAGGTCTTGCAATGCAAGGTTATATGTGTAAATTGTTTCATGAAAAAAGGTATAGTAATACAGAAATATTTCAAAGTTTGCAAATTTGTGTTTGTTTTCAGGAAAAAACCATGATAAAGACTCATTTGATGATTGGGTCGTTGTTTAAATTTTTTTTTGGACTATTTGATTTTAACCTGTGCAGATCACAGCTTCAAAAAAGACGAAAAATGCCAAAAACCATACACACGTATATAATACGTATATAACGATCCAGAATTTTTTTAATACCCTCTCTGAGGAAATTTTCACAAATTGTGTACTATATAAGGTTTTCAAACCCTTTACATCGTATGCAAGAAGTAGCTTGTTTTGTTACGTATTATATATGGAAAACGATTTTTCTATTTTTGTATTTGTTTTACTTTTTTCGCATCGTTTTTTTTTCTCAAGAAAACGGGGGTGCTGTGATATAGATTTTTTTAAATGCTAAAGACCAGCTATATAATGCGATTATATTTTTAATGTTTTACTAAATAGGTAACAATTTTTTGACACATAAAACATAAATATGAATAAAAGAAGATGCAATTACATCAATAAAACAGCAACCTAACAACACACAACTGAACGGTATGAAATTCGCTGTTTTTACTGTATAAGATTTTAAGTTTTAGTATACACCATTTCGACGTGCAAGGTATGGTGTTTTAATGATGACGGCATTATAGTGAAGTGTATTAGCAGAAACAAATAGAACTTTAGCACGGGACTTTCTCCAACACAGGCCTGCGTTAAATAGGCGAGTTACAGTGTTGTGCAATCCCGTCAATCCGAGTAGATGTACATTTTATATCACAGAATGGTATTGGCAACAGACGAAGGATAGCATAACTTCATCGTAAACTATTCAAACTGCTAAAGTCAGAGTTACACTGACATAACCATTCCGTAAGGGGGAAAACAAGTCGTAAGTCGAAGTTGACGTCAGTATGGTACCAGATGTAACAAAACTGTGGAGAGACATTCCACTTAGTTGGCCATACAGAGAGGAAGACAATTCAATTAATCGTCTAATGAAATAAACAGTGAGATGATATGTGAAATCGGTCTACACCGCAGTGTAAGAGGAAGAATCAAATGTTACCACTGCCGAAGGAGCAGTTAAAGTAATTACACACAGACAAAATATTACAGAACAAAGACAATTGCATATTAAAAACGGCTCTTTTTAGAGTCACAAACCAGTCTGAATATTGTTGATTTAAAAACATATGATCGATCAAGAATGAAGAAGATTTTTATTTATTTTTCTCTTCTTTTAGTTTTCGCTTTTTATTTCTCCAGAAAATTAGTTAGACCTACGAAGAGCGTGCAATTTTTTGGTTTTCGTTCATTATTTTGTACATAATTCAGGCCGTTAGTTTTCTCGTTTGAATTGTTTTACATTTGTCATTTCGGGGCCTTTTATAGCTGACTATGCGGTATGGGTTTTGCTCATTGTTGAAGGCCGTACGGTGACCTATAGTTGTTAATTACTATGTCATTTGGTCTCTTGTAGAGAGATGTCTCATTGGCAATCATATCAAATCTTATTTTTATAAGTATGTTTGCGCTAATTTCCCAAAATGATTGTTTGTGTGTTAATTCTTTTATTTTTTGCATGACACCCAGAAGGTAAAGAACCATTAAATCGGGCCCAGTCACAAAGAACATACAAGAAAGTAGTACATATCTTAATCAAAATAGTTCCTACGCATAGCTGAAACTTTGTCAAAAGTAAAAACAAATGGGTAATTTTGGTATCAAATGAAAGCTCCACGTCTTTGGATCACTGTAGAACCCTTGATGAAAGTTTGACATGAATAATAAAATAAATATATGAAATTATGATAGGGGCATATTTGCCCTGTTACTCAAATCAGAAGTATCTGTTTCATACTACCCAATTTTCGGGAACCAGTGCGCTCTAATATGCAATTAAAGATATATTGAATTTTTCAGTACAGTCAAGTCGTCCGGTTAAGTTTTAGTTTTGCTGTGAAATCACTGCCACTTTATTTGAACTTGAGACAAAATAATTATAAATGCTTACAATTGCATAATTTAACATAGAAAGAGATGGGCTATGTGTATCAGTGGTTTAAATACCATAAAACAGGTTTGAAGCAAGTGCGTGTCTGCGTTTCTGTGAAATTCTTCCTCTCTTTACTCAGAAAATACCAAAAAAAGCAAGTGTTTAAGAAGACTAGACACATATGCAATAACTTAACCATGTTTACGATGTGATTTTCTGACACAATGACTTCAATAAGCATGACATATTTGCCATTGGACGTTAAGCAGAAAACAATCAAATTAATCTGCTATCTTTGAATCAAAGCAACATTGGCTGTGCTATCAGATTTGTATGATACAAAACAATTCAGTCATCAGTACACACGGAAAATTAAGTGCTGCGTGAATTGAAGTGAGAAGTGAGGTATACGTCAATGAGACAGCAACCTAACTACAGCAATAACCGTAAGACATCTAGAAGGAGACGTTTAGTCTTCAACAATAGACAGGTGTCCTCATAATATGTCTTATAAGTGCTATCAGATTTGTATATTATTTTTTTTTTCAGCCAGCAGTGTACAGTACATGGATAATGAAGTGTGAAATAGAGGTCAGGAGTGGGTTATACGTCAGTGAAACAGCAGCCCAACGACAGAAATAAACATCTGGATGCAGACATATAGTCTTCGACAAATAGACAGATGACTACACAATATGTCTCGCTCTTAGTTGTCTCGATTCAATGAAATGTATATATATAAATTCAACAGAAACAATCAAAGATCTGCTATTAACACTCAATTCTCTAAATAAAGGGTTTTATGGACTTTAGCGGACATTTGTAATGGACTTTAGCGGTGTTGTGGACATTACATGAATTGTGGACTTTAACGGTGCCACAGTGCATGTCCCAAATCAGGAGCATTTAGTTCAGGAATTGTCGTTGGTTCATGTCTGTCATATTTGTTCTTCATTAATTGTTTTGTTATAGACTAGGCCTGTAATTTTCTCAATTAAATTGTTTCATATTTTTTATGTCGGGGCCTAGTATAGCAGATAATACGGTATAGGTTTTCTTATTGTCGATGGCCGTACGGTTGCCTATAATTGCTTACATCCACTGAATTTGAACTTTGGAGGATAGTTGTCTCATTGGCAATCATACCACATCTCCTTATTTTTTATGTCAAATGCACATTCATGTTCTGAATGTAATGTACAATTCATGAAATTTGCTCTTAAAATGGCAATGAAGGTTATTGAATATTTGTTTTATGTTTTCTTTGTTCCAATAAACAAGGAATTTAAACTTAGCAAACACATGCAACTAAACGTACAGAAAAACAAACAGAACATATGCTTGACAGATTGAACACCATTTTGGAGGAGACAAACATTGACTGTAATGTTTTGATACAGATTTTGCATGTTAATCGCAGAGAGAGAGACCCAAAAATATAATGGCCATTGTTCATGAACGGACTGAAAAGGATATTGCCTGGCTACGAAACAGATTTTTCCTCACGTCCTAAACAAGAAACCAATTTGAGGTGGCGTACTAACTTTTTGGCACCTTCTAATAAACTTTTTTTTTTCTTCGACATTCGGTAAAAAATCAGATTCAATATGCGAAGGAAACTGTTTTTTTAAAGTGGATGCTGTTGCAAAAAAAAAAAGAGAAGCAGAGCATGAAAACGGTTAATTGGTAAATGTGCAATAGTAGATGTCATCCAAATTTACAATCATGGTAGTTTGTGAAAATAAATGATTTGTACTATAGTATTGTGCTTAACATTTTGATATTTATGTTTATTAAGATGTTTAAATATAATTTCATAGGATAAGTACATAGTCTCATCATTCCAGTTATTATATATAATCCCTGACATTTTCTAGTGATTATGCATAATTCCTGAAAAATTTTGGTGATCATATATACTCACTTATCCCTACAAAAATGTCAGGGATTATACATAATCCCTAATTATACACATTTAATGTAACATATACACTTTTGTTAAAGACCTGTTTTGACCTCTGGATGTCTATACGTTTTTTGTTTGGTTGGTTTGATTCCTCATTGATGTTTACACCATAGTTCCTTTTGTATCAAATCAAATCGTATGCATGTTATTTCTTTATTATAAATGTTTCTTTTTATTTAAACTATTACATGTAACTTGTATTTCTTTCAGTTTTACTTCTCTTTCAGTTTTACGAATCTTGAACTCTTTTATTTTCCTGCTCCTTGTCTTTTCTAAAATGATATCAAACATGTTTTTTTTTTATTAAAAACCTAATTTCCTTCCAATAAAGAAAATCTGAAATATACTATGTAATTATGCTAAAATAAATTTTTAAAAACCACCATTTTCCCAAATCCAATAAACTATAAAAAGTAATCAATTTGTCCCAAATCTAAAATAAAAAAAAACAATAAATTAATGATATCTAATGGGGACAGTAATGGTCCTCTTACCAAACAGTGGTGAAAATGTAACTAACAGTAATTCAGCAATACGCACAGTTATATATACAATACGATGATTTCTCCTTATAGAGCTTTCTTACAATTTGACGAAAGGTACATACGCTTGACGAATCATACGAAAGACCCGTTTGAGGGATCGTTTATTTTGACTTTTGATTTCTTTTTATGTATTACTAATATTAATCAAGGATTTATTTGTATAAAGTTTATGTAAGTGTTTATTTCCTTGCAGCTGCCATTTGTCACTTTATCTCTTATTCTTGACTTATTTATTGATGTCTGCAAATTGTTTAACCGCGGTGTTTTGATAGTCTACTTTATCTGATAAATCAGGCGTGACAAACTTGAGGTCAATCCTCCCCAACACCGTCTATAGTTATCAGAGAGTTTGTTTTAAGTAGCAGTTGAAATTATGTATAGGAAATAGATAAACATGTTTATTTTTGTAACAATTTTATTTGTATTTATTGATCCGCCATCCGCCCCTAACACCTCCGAGATTGTGGATTGTGCTTTGGCAACATGATATGAAGGCAATGTAATAATGGATTTTACCCATTATTTACTTGTCACAAAATTATTACCTGCGTTCTCAGGCAGCCCTGAATAAAACGGGTAACTAGGCAGCCCTCTCGTCGGGTGAACGAATCATTTGTTTGTCCATTTGACAGTTCTTTTGGATACATGTTTTAGTGTGCAAATGGTTTTTTCACTCGAGGTTATCCGTCTCAGGTTGCAAAGTGAGCCCATACCCTCTAAGCATGGGCTGGACCAGCGCTCAACATGAAGGTATATAATTTAAGAGTAGGTATTAAATATACTTGAGTTACCTATGTTTGACATGTGATGGGTCAGCTCTCAACATGTCACGCGTACAGAGGTATAATATTTCGAAGTAACACGTGTTCTTCGAATTATGCTTCGAGCTCTTGTCAATACTCTCTTTTAAAGGCTCTCTTTGCTATTAAGTTCACATTGTTTGAGGTTTCATTCAATACTCTACGAGTTATGCTTCTGAAGATGTATACTCAAGCAGCTCGTAACTTTTTCCTTATGGTCTAAGTTATTTGAAGTCACAGTAATACATCTACACTCTATCGTCTATTGCAGTTGCAGCGATAGATGCTCGAATAATGTGAATTTAATTTCTTTATTGATAAATGTATTTTATTTATTTTTTAAATACATATCAATCATAAGCATGTTGCCCGTAACGCCAATTTTTATAATACTTTATATTTGTATTTATTGTGTTTTTATTTTGTTATGTATAGATTATTACATGGCATTTTTCATATCAGACCCTTTATCGGCCCTAGGTCATAATATCAGCCCAAGAGCCGCAGTCTCGAGGGCTGATATCATGAACGAGGGCCGATAAAGGGTCTGATATGATAAATGACATGTAATTATCTTTTTATCATATACTTCAACAGAAGAAATACAGACAAGAACTATTAATTAAAATTTTGTCTTTCCATTAATTTTAAGATAATAATTTACAGACAACCAAATACAAATTTCTTAACTTTAATTGTTTTTATTCATATTACAAGCATTTTATTTATCTTGTCACAACAATTATCATGTTCTTAGTTTGAAATTTGCTCCTCAACCATTTTGTGAAAAGCCTTAAATCACTTGCGGTTTTCCGCACTGTGTTGTCGTTTTCGAACAAATTTCCGGATATGCACGAAGTTGCATGTGATAAACGTCACGGAAATTAACGGAAAGGCATGTGATAACATTCCGGAAGCAGTCAATAAAGGTTCCTTTATCAGCCCGCTGAGGAAATTCTTAGGAATCTGATCAATAAACCTAGTAATCCTTTCACAGCCTTTTAATATTTTTAAATGTTATTGAACTGTAAAATTTTAGTAATATTTAATACAAGTATATGATAAGTATATATATTAAATATTTTTCATTTTTGAAATATTTTGATTTTTTCCATTGGATTATTATTATTATTATTATTATTATTATTATTATTATTATTATTATTATCTTAATTGAAATTTCTTCATCAGTCGTTCTTAGTCTGCTTACATAACAGGTTTGATTAATAGCGCGGAGATGCTTCTAACACACATTAAATCTTAAATCAGCTGGGGAAAGGTCATCATCCATTCATATCTTTGTTTGAAAGAAACACGGCACATATATATGGCGTTTCGCCTCAATGTTTGGACATCAAGGACCATTCACTGCATGCAACGACATACGTCAAACTTAATTTTTTATGCGACATAGTTATTTTGTGACGTACGATGTAAAACAAATATTCCAGGGTGAAGGGTAAATTATATACACAATTAAGCCAGTTTAACCGCAACACCCAAGTTTTATCAGTATAACTGTTTTTTTCCTTCTCGCAGATTTTTTTTTTTATAAATTTTTCCATTCATTGTAGTTTCTTTGTCTTGTACATGTAAATGTCGATGATACACGTTGACAATTTGTTGATGGCGTACTCATTAATAAATAAAAAATAATTGTGAATATTGTCGTTAAATTTAGAGTATCATACTGCCAGAATTTCATTAAAATGTTAATAGTTTAAACATGTAAAAAAACGCATGCTTGAACAATTCCTGCGCAAATGTGTGTAATCATGGTTAACCTAAGCAACTTATCGGACGTAAGTGTATAGTTTATACTATTTTTCTTTATTTCCAGATATTAAATGCATATCTTACTTGCGATATGCTTAACTTTTTAAAGATACATTTCATTCAGGAAAGAATGCCGTTTTATCCGATAAAACAAAGACACTCAATGTTATTGTGGTAATGTTCAACATACTCCCTTTAAGTTCGTTCGTATCTTTCGTCAAAATGTAAGAAAGCTCTTATAATGCCGGTCACCTGATGATGATAATCAAATATTTGAGAGTCGATTATAAAGAGGTCTTTTTTAAACTTATTTCATGCAATTGTTAAAAAGGGTGGTGAAGATAACATTGAAGGAGTCATTGATTTAGTATTAAAAAAAATTTCCAACATATATTGGTGGCCTTCGGCTGTTTTCTGCTCTTTGGTCGGCTTGTTGTCTCTTTGACACATTCCCCGCTTCCATTCTCAATTTTGTATATAGTAGAAATAACAATAACGTTAATAAAATACTTACAGCGCAACTATTGCATTTACAATGTGAATTATTGCAAGATCCGATGGCGGCACAACCATTTAGCATACCTAAACAACAACCTTTACATCCGTTATCATCGAGGTTTCCATTAGAACAGAATGTGCTTGTACATGTCGAATGGGGTTCTTGTATGGCTAACAAATAAAATGTATTTATTGCAATAAAAATTATCAACGGCTTACACCTTTTAAGACTCAGACAATGTGGTTAACTAAATGAAAATAAATGCTGCTATCTGGAAACTGCAAAGTACAAATAGAGAGAGAAATATCAAGTGCAACAAACAGACAGGTCAATGGATAAAATAAAATTAGTGCAATATGAATGCACATACTGTAGTGAGGCTGAAGCATTGTACGTGCACAGAAACTTACCCATTTTTTTTCAGTCCACGCCATATGTTAAGTACAACACACAATATAAATCTGCACTTAATGACCATGCGCAAAACTCGTGTCGTATTAGCTATTAAAGGTCTCAGGATAACAAAATCTGAGCCAATTTAATAGTAAAGAAAAAACTGCCTGATTTAAGTGAACAACATTAAACGATAAACAAATATAACAGACAGTAACCAGCGACAACCACCGGACTACAGGCCTCTTGCTTTATACAAGCACATACAGAATGTGGCGGGGTTCAATATTTTCATAAAGATCTAGAACTAAACGTAATAAAAAACAGGAGTAAATGTATCAGAAAAACGGATGAATCAATCTTATAACTGCCTGATTTAAGCTAACAACATTTAACGATAAACAAATATAATTTCTGATTTCTGGATAAAAACAAATAAAAACAAATATAACAGACAGTAACCAACAACCACCGGACTATAGGCCTCTTGCTTTATACAAGCACATACAGAATGTGACGGGGTTCAATATTTTCATAAAGATCTAGAACTAAACGTAATAAAAACAGGAGTAAACGTATCAGAAAAACGGATAAATCAATCTTATAATTGCAGAAGGTTTTCAATGCATGTAATTGTTTAACCAACGCCGTTTAATTGGGCATCATTAGGACATTCCAATAAATGTGTATATCGTTTATTTTAATGTTGAACTGTCGAATTTTGTAAATCATCGGAAACAAAACTAATTCACAGTGTTCCTTATTTATTCTTTTATCATTTAACTATTCATTTAGTGTTTAATGTTTATAGCTGTTATAAACAATAACCACATTATGTATTAATAAAATTAAGATCCACTTTCTCTCGAAAGTAGGCACGGTGTAACATTGTAAATTCTTTTTTTTTTTGTGATTTTGTAGTAATATAAAAAAAATCTATTTCTACAAAAAAGTAGGAAACCTAGATACAAATGTAATTTCTTGTCATGAAAACTCATACTCTATGAAGATTGATTGATTGTTGGTGTTTTAACGCCAATTTTAGGCGCCACTTTTGGGTTATTTCGTGGCGGTCAGTTTTTATGGGTGGAGGAAGCCGGAGTGCCCGGAGAAAACCACCGACCTTCGATAGGAAAACTGACAATCCTAGCCAATTAAGATTGGAGTCGAGTGCACCCGCACGAGCGGGGTTCGAACTCACAACCTCAGTGTTGACTGGCTAGTGATTACATAGTAGAACTACTTAGACCACTTGGCCACCGAGGCTCCCATACTTTATGAAGAACCATACCGATATCCATAACAAGTACATCGAAAATGATATTAGCAAAATTGCTTGGCGTTTTTTACTGATTACATATTTGCTGAGTTTCATGTATTGATATCTCAGCACACAGTCGATATTCCAATGAGTATGAATTGTGCACTACTGCTGACTGATTCATTCTTGTACTCATATAAAGCAGACTTCATACAGAAAAAAATTTAAAGACAAAAAGAAAAAAAACATCATGCAAAATTCTTTTGTTTCACTTTCAAATATATTTGGGATGTCCTATTTCTCAATTATCCAAATTTCAGTAGATGCTTGCATCTCATTTATTCCAGTGGATATTAGAACTACAAAGTCTGCTTAAAATTTTGATGTTTTTCTCGATATTGATGGCAACTTCACACTAGAAATAATGACACACGTGTTGATTCCAACCTTCCAATTGTCAACTTCCAAGCAGTAATATACCATTATCTAAATCGTATTATGTTAAAATATATCAATTAATCACGCACATGTACGTTCATGGTCTACAGACTTATTTAGTAGTGCATGTTCGGTACACAATAACTGCTCCAACAGGGTTATAAGGAAGAATGACTGACACACACACTTTTTACGATCATGGTCAAGAATTTGTTGACCATATGATATATATGTATTTACTCTCACTAGCGACATGTTTTCGTAGTTTTAGATTCTTAGATACCAGAATTGTTGTCTAATCTATTGTTTTACAGGTCGTGTCCTATTCCTAAATGTTACATATTAATTGAGTGTGGATTAGTACGGCGAATGATTCATGCATAACAGAAGACGCTTATCTCGTCGATGCGCCCGTTCTCACTACTTTTGGAGTTCGTGGGATTCCATCAGTCTTTGTTTGTTACTTTTATTATGTGTTCTTCGTCGATTTATGAGAATCTAATATCGGTTAATAACTGTTGATTAAGGTGGCTGGAGTGTCTTCCTCTATCTTGGATTTTGAAGTAGCAGATAACAATTGGTCTAGATCTTTAATGAAATGTGCAAATTTTGAGAGTAGTAATACTATGTAATTCATGTGTAATACTTTTCATGTTAATGTAGAACATCATGTGTTCTATCATATTTACGGCTGTATTTTCTAAAAACACAATATTTTTGTTTGATTAATTTTTTTTCAACTTTGCCACATCAGGGAAAATAATTCAGATAGTAGGGGAGATACCTCAGATAAAGTAATTTTTATAATAGAAAATGTTGTGAATTTACCTATTTTAATATGTAGCAAGAAAACAAGTCCATTTTTTCTTTTTCTTATCTGAAAGCATGTTATAAGAGCTATCTTCTCACATTTAATCTCAAAATTCTATGATGTAGTTTTCTTTTTATTACACAAAATTTGATTTTCCATGCATAATCTATACAAAATCCGACAATTTTGCACAACCTGTAGCGTGAAAAAAAGTCCAGTGACCCATACTTTTTATTATATTTTGGAAAAAGGCATGACAAAAACTACATCCCCATCCACCTTAAATTGTGTACGAAATTTCAAAATGAAAATGTTAACTTTTAACTGAGAAATGTCAATTTTAACTTAGAAATTTCAATTTGGAAGTAAGAAATGTTTAAAGGGAAATGAGATTATTAAAAATATAATATCCTACCAGTATTTCATATCATTGGGTCATGTATCAATTGGTTAAATAAAATGCCTTACAAGTACACCTATCACAATGACAGGCAGTTACTCCATTCAATACACTGCATCTTCCACCAGAACTACATCCCTGACCAATACAACATCCATTACAAGCAGCGCTGTCTTTGGTGCTAGAACAGAAGTTGTCAGTACATATCCCTTGAATGGACTCTTTTACACCTAATCGAAAACAAAAATAAAATTTCACCTATTCATTTAAAGGACATATACTAATGGAAATGGTTATTCCGGATTCGGTTTTTTAAATATTTTTAATTCTTCTTTCAGTTCTTTTCTGCATTTTTTTCTCTTAGATTTCTGGATAAAAACGTCAAAAAAAACTGAAAGAGATTTGTACATTTTACAAAAAGAAACTATAGAGTAAAATGAGGATTTTTCAATATTATGCCTTAGAAGTAATGTAGCATCACACAGTTTCAATTTTGTTTCCTTCAAATTTTGATGCCCGGTCAATTATTTAAAATATGGACAATTTTATGCAATAAAATTAATTTAAGGTACTAGTAGCATATCAATTACAAAACATTGCAAAGGATTTACCTGAACATGCCATCTTTGCACAGTTCTAATTGGTATAGCCATACCCAACATAGATTCAGAATATTCTATAAAACTACTTTCTCCATTGTTTGAACTCAGAAACTGTGATGTAATTTAACGGAAAAATGAGACGAAAAGCACCAGATTTTATTTTAATATAACCTTTTGAAAGAAATAGAAATGCATGCTTTTGACAAAATTTAGTTGCAATAAGGGCAATTTCCACGCCTCTTTTGTAATTTAATGGGAAATGAATGCAAAGGATAAAAAAACAAAAAAATATACTTCATATCATAAATCATTTGAAATCCAAGGAATATTTTGATAACATCAGGTCCGAAAATTTGCTTTTCTGGTAGGTCGTGCATTTTACCGAAATAGTTATAGATGAAATGACTTAACAGACGTACGGAATTTCCGTCATACATGTATGTATAAAAATGTTAAACATTAACGATCATGCTCAATTTTTAAGAAAGTTAGAAGGGTCAATTGGATTGTATGTCCTACTTGTTCATTGCTAACAAAACGATTATACGCTATAAAACCAGGTTTAATCCACCATTTTTAAAAGAAGGAAATAATACAATAATACAAAGATATTTTTTATTGCATGCATTAATCATCAACCTGTAGGATTTCAATATTACTCGAACACTCAATCTAGCAGACCATTTTTTCTATAACGTAGCCAATAGTCGAGATAAATCGTACAGGCAGCTTTAGGAAGAAAAACTTTCAATAACTAAACACTTATTACCGAAGGACGTGGTCCTTTCATAAGTAATATTTTGTCCGTATGACAATTCTGCATAATACAGAAATATAAATCATCAGTTTTGAAGATAAATTTTGTAATTTTTTCATTAATATCAATATACGAGTCGACCAGTGTATCGATGTGTTGGTGCTAAGAACAGCTTCAAGGTCCGATGATGATATTGGTTATACCAACAAAAACGAGTAAATGTTTTCTTTTTTTTTTTATAGTCAATGTCGGAATCATAAATATATAATTTTAATCTGGTTAGTAAGCACCAAAAGTATATATCATATGGAATCTTTTAATGGATTTATTTTTATTGTTTCTGTTATGGTTTAGGTCGGATGATCTGTTATGTCTTATCGTTTGTAGTCAAAATAATTATAAAATTGCCTTTCAATACCATTATCGTCATGAAACTTGTTTGGACCAATATAGTGAAAATAATTGTATAAAGTTCCAGATTGCATGTTAGTTACGTAAGCGCGTCACTGTTTTTGATATCCTGTGGTGTTTTTCGTTTATGGATAATATGTTCGTTGTTGTTCTGTGGTTTGTATGTTGTGTCGACTATTATATTATTTGTTTGTGCGTTTCTCTGTCATGAATATTCTTGCGTGTGTTTGTGCTGTATTTCTGTAACGTAGTGTTTTAGCGATATTTTTTAACATTGTCATATAAGCGGGAGGTTTGGCATGCCATGTAACCAGGTTCAACCCACCATTTTTTTCTCAAAATGTCCTGTACCAAGTCAAGAATATGGCAGTTGTTATCAAATAGTTCGTTTCTATGTGTGTTGGCGTTTGATTTTGTTGCACTTCAGTGTTCCTGTTGTTCATTTGTTTTCCTCTTATAGTTGATGTGTTTCCCTCGATTTTTGTTTGTAACCCGGATTTGTTTTCTCTAAATCGATTCATGACTTTTGAACACCGGTATACTACTGTTGCCTTTATTTAAAGAACTATATGTTCTTACCTACTGCAAGAACAATAAGAACGAAAAGTAAGACTGTATTATTCATGTTGAAGAGTTCCTGAAATATAAGGATTACAGTTATAAAATATATATTTTACTTTGCACGATCATGGTAATTGTAACAGTTATACAAAGCACTTGCAACACAGTAAATTAAGTTTCAATGAAAAATCCGAAAAATAGTTCAAATAAGAATCAGGAATTCAAAAGTCATTCAAATACCATGTTATGTATACTTAATTATAAGCCTCCTATCTTTTCAAAACGTTTTTACAACTACTGGGTCGATGCCACTGCTTGTGGACTATTTTCACAGAGAAAGTTAGCAGCCCAGTATCGCCCAGTTGAAGCTCCTGTATTGACCTCAAATATCATTGATGTGGTCATTTTCTTGAAATCAACTTTTCAAAACACACCAAAAACATTCGAAACACTAAGTTTTTCCTATCCCATGCACAGATAGTCTTAGTTAGATGTGGCATCACTTTTAGGAATTTTTTGATTCTCAATACTCTTTAATTTCGTAAATAATTTTAGCCTCCAAACTGTTTGATTTGAATGCAGCTTATAAATATTAAGTAGACGAAATGCACATCTAATATACTAATTTATAATTAACATGGCTTTGTCAATTTATTTTTGACTTATGAGTTTGAATATCCCTTTGGTATCTTTCGTCTCTCTTTAAGAAGCCTTACAACTTGAAAAGTGTTTGTGTCTGTAACAATATTTTCCGTCGTGTGTTTCAAATTTTATATCTGTTGAATAGTATTAATCGCTTTGCTGTTTAAAAGGGTTTTCATTAAACGCGGAAATGAGATTTTTTTAAAGATTTGTAAACACTTTTTCTTCATTTTTGTTACTATAAAACAACTTTCAAAAAAAAACTAATAGAATCTGACCGACCTTGCATTAATGTCAAAGACTTGTAATTTGTGTATGTCTTATTGTGTGTGTCATACTTACTTCAAATGTATTTAAAACTTTAAATATGAAAACCATAAAAGTATAACTTTCTGTTGATACACTTTTTTTTCGACACACTCCAGTTTGTTATACGTATCATTAATTTTTATAACTGATGTAAAAAATTCTTTTTTTTCCAACTAGTGTTATCGAAACTAATTTTTACAGTATAGTACATGTATAAACTATTATTATTTAATTGGTTTTATAGTTGTGTAACAAATTCATTGTTAAATGAAATTAAAAGGCACAGACACCTAATGTTACCTTTGTAATTGATGAAAAGGAAAAATCAGGAGTATCTTTTTTATAAATACCTTTGTTCCTTTCACAAAGCTCTACATACAGAAAAATAAAAAAAACAAGCTTTCATTTCCAAGCCATCGAATAATAATTTTTTTTTGCAAAATCTGTAAAAAGCACACTTGTAAACTAATGTTGATATGCAACAGCAATTTTGAATCTTTAAAAGACCGAACAATAAATTATTGAGTCACCTTCAGTCTTTAAGTCAATTTTCTGACTTAATGCAGTAATTTCAGTACTGTTTAGACAATTCGCTTCCAGTTTGTTCAGATTTGTTCAGTCTAAATTCAGACTGATCTGTATTTGGTATTTATCTGTACACATTAGCATCACACTGTAATGTCTGAAAAGCAACTGAATAGTACTGAATTGACTGCAAGCTAATTGTCTTATTACCCCAGTGGATAAATCTAAAAATTGACCAGTTCATTGTCATAAATGTAATACTTGGAAAATTTTGTTTCGTTCTCAGGGATAGAATACTTATTGTAATTGTATAGAATGATTAGAGATTATAAAAAGACTAAACATGACTGAATCATTTATTGTTCAGACTTCTCAAATGATGTTAAGGTAAAAATGACCAATTAAGACTGAAATTAATTTACTAATGCCATATCATAGAGTCCTTTATACAAATCCCCGAAATAACAAAATGTGAAACAATTCAGACGAAAAAACTCCCTAATTTATGAGCAAAACTATAAACGAAAAACAAATATGACAGACACCAAACCCAACCACTGAATTACCAAGGTTTTGAATTGGGCAGGCACATTTAGCGTACAGGTACAGTTAATCCTCCAAACAAAATAGTTGTATCGATGAAAGAGTTAAGTAAAAGTTTTAAGTAATATAAGATAACAAAATCTTCGACAGAATAATTTACCAGTTATACATAGATAACGTTCATTGAAATCTAAAACGTCACTACAGAAAAAAACAAAACGAGCGAGTTGAGAAATATACAAGTTAACAAGGTGCAAAATGAGCATCACCGTCTTATTTCTATGTTGTGTTTTGCGTACTGTTGTTTGTGTTTTGGTCGTTTTTCATTTTTTGCCATGACAATTTCAGTGAATGTTCAACTTTTGAGTTAGAATATCCATTTGGTATCTTTCGCCCGCCTTTTGTCGTCAACTTTCGTTTTGAGTTTTCTGTATGAAACTGAAATATCCAAATCGACGAATAGACATTTATCGTTAATATTATACTTATTTTAAGTTAGTTCCCTTGGGTAATTCAAAAGTATAAAAATAGAATTTTTGATTATTCAAATCAAAATTATCTTCAGGTAACGGTATGTTTTGTTACATTTATCGATTAAAGGAAAATTAGACTGAATTTTGCCATAAACTGTGATGCGTATCCATACAGAAACACGTCTGTTGCAAAAGTGGCGCAAATGTTGCCCACAAACATGTTTACAACCTGTCGATAAAATTATTGCAAAAACGTACATAGATGTTTTCAAGGAGAAAAATGAAAGCTTTAATCATCACATAACAGTTCTAGTAAGTATATCTGGATATATACGTGTATGCATTACACAAAACAGCTTTTTAACAAACCAACATATTTGTTTTCATATTGTGACAACATAACTATCGATAGTCTTAGCAACGTTGTAATAATTCAATAAAAAGTACCAGTGGTTTGTTTTTTTGAGCACTCCATATTCCATACACATACACATCAAGAGTTTTACTGAAGCCTGTTCATATAGTACTAAAAGCTCATGTCGAGAGTGGACCTCGGTGGCTGAGTGGTTTAAGTACTTTATCTATAGTATCACTGGCCCTGTCCATGTTGTTATAAGTTCTAACCTCGCATTTGGATGACGTATTTGACTCCAATCTTAACTGACTAGAATTGCCGAAGATCGGTGGTCGTCTCAGAGCAGTCTGGCTTCCTCCACGAAATAGCCAATAGTGCTGAAATTGGCTTTAACACCAAATAATTAATCAATTCCTATCGAGAGTTATTTACGAAAACAAGTCAAAACTGATGCAATAATAAATATTCTGTGTACCATAGAAGTGTCCAATTGCCCTCGCCTTTGACCCTGAAACCATTTCTCTTTGATGTTAATTAGAAATTAAACAAAATTGATATCTACAATACAAATTTCAGTATTGCCAAAGAATGGAGCCGTAATGGAATCCGTAATTATGCTTAAACACTGCTAATTTAAAATTTTCCCATATCTAAAGATAAAATTAAAAACATAAAGACAAGAAAAAAAGTTTCATCAAACTTCATCAAATTGAATACACCAAGTAAAACAATAGGTTCATTCATTTTGGTCCTTTTAAAAATTGTGTAATTTTAGACTGTTCAAATCATTGACAGTCTAGATCGGAACGTATAAATAATTTAAGAGTATATCACACAAACATTACAACGTATAGTTACATTTGGCTTTGAACTAGCTTTCAGTAACTGCGAGTAACCTTAGATCGGTACCTAGTGTATTAAGTCTTTTCATTTTTTGTTTTTGTGTATTGTGTCGATTTGACGATGTTTACAGTTGTCCTGTTGCACCTCTGTTCCGTGTTAGGGGCGGTTTAGAGCTCGCATACATGTTTATCCTACCACATTCTGTTAATGTCAGTCCCAAGTCAGGAGCCCATAATTCAGTGGTGGTTGTAGCTTGTTGTTTTTCATATTTGTTTTTCGTTTATTGTTTTGTACATAACTCAAGTCATTCCACTTGTCGTTTGAATTGTTTAAATTTATATTAACTTATGTCGGGTTTCTTTATAGCTGACTTTATGGTATGGGTTTCGCTGATTGTTGAAGGCTGTGTAGTTGATTATAATTGCTTAAATGAACTTTGGTCGTTTTCTAGAGGATAGCTGTCAAAATGACAATCATACCACATCTACTTATTATACTAGACTTCTGAATATTTGTCAGTGTAAATACACATTTAACAAAATAGAATAGCATCATTCGACTTAATACAATTTACAAGCATCCACAGTATTTTCAAACTTGGTTTTTTAGTAAAGAATATAAATTCAACAGAAACACACCAACGAATTGTCTTAAAACCACGAAGAGACAACGACAACAACCAACAACCCTTCTCAAAGTGACTGGTTTACAAATTTTAATTGGACTGATTCGAATCATAATTTTTAGCTAAAGCAGAATGTTGGATTCGTCCTTTTTATTTGCACTAAGTAGTTTATGGATGTTAAAATCTAATAAATCGATTTAGAAGATACAAATCATGATAATAAATTAAACAAACTCTTAGGGAATCGCATGACATCCAAAAGGAGCGAGATCGCGTTAGAGTCTCTATATATGCATCCACACTCAGCCAAAATGTTTCAATCGAGAATATCAGATCAGACGCTTAAGACAGTTGTTGCCTGGTTGAGTTTAAACGTTCGTTTTGATTGCTGACATAATAAAAGTAACAATTTTAAAAATAAAGAAATAGGTATTTTTATTGTTTGAATTTTATTTACTTGATAATTTCTGAACCTTTAACATTAACGATATAGACTTCTGGATTAATTTGGTACTTACTTTGTTTCGGTTTGTTATTTTCTGCTTTTCGAGGGAGGGAAGCTTTATGTAAGAAGGTTTTATCAAATTTACTGCTGTAAGGTATACAGTTTTTAGTACATAGAGGATGCGGTTATGCGTCAAAGATACATTTTAAAGACGACTACATCCTTTCTAAGGAATAATATTGTCAGTTTAACGGATTATATCTAAATATCCTCGGATGGAAACTATCAAAAAATAGGCATTTAAAATGTTTTAGAGTGAACGAGTATATTGTTTAAAATAATAATAATAAGAGTAAACATCTACAGTGGTATCAACATGTTTAAATTTCTGCATTCATTGCAATTAATAGAAAAATAATGTTTATTTATATGAATAAAAAGTTAAATCACTGCATTGATAAATCATCAAGTGTCCACTTACCGTATTAAAATTTTGTGCACAAAGTCCATCCTGACTTCTAAATTTCATTAATATAGTGCCTTTTACAAAACACATGATTAATAGGATAATAAAATAATGGGGGTTATGAGTTGGGAGGAATTTATCATTACCGTCATATTACATGTAGTAAAGTTCAATGGGCGAAGTTTGTTTACCTTTATTTATTCTGTTTAAATCTAGACATAATTAGTAAGGATCATTTATGAAATGATTTTGTTATATGTCTTGTACGCAAACAAACAGAACACTAATCTTTTGCATACTTTCAGCCCTGAAATGTAATGCATGGTTGTGCTCATGTGACCCTTTTTAAGGCAGTGATGTTGAAAGTGAGTTTATAATTCGTAAAATAACAATGAAAAAGTGTTGTAATTACACAAATATACTGCTTTTCTGTATTTTTAAAGTTAGGGTGTATTTATTCTTACGATACCTTCTCTTATGTGTGCCACACCATTCTCTCAATTTTAGACCAGGTAGTGTACTAAAGACGCAAACCACCTATTATTAGTCCCCATTCATATCCACGTTAAATTATTCACTTTCAAATATTTTTGGGTGGCAGGATCAATATACAGTTATTTACACATCAGACCATACTGGTTACTGGAACTTTTTAAACACCATACCAGGTACTTCATATCTTAGAAACAGGCAATATATGCCCATAATGTTAGAATTCATTCATACATTTTTGTATTATTCAAAATGATCAGTCAAAATGAATGTGTTCTACAAGGATCACCAGTCCTTCACCCATTCATTTGATGCCTAAATTATCAAAATATATTTTACATAGTTAGATAGGAACTCTTTTGTTTTAGATATGTACTACTTTCCAGTATGTTCTTTTTGACTGGGCCCGATTTGGTGGTTTTACACTTTACAAAGTCTATTCGATTTTTTTTCTTCAGAGAATTGCGCTCAAACCGGTGCAAGGGGCCGTCTTAAACGTGCAGGCAGGTGAGAGTTTTATATTTTGGTTCCGCGTTGAAGGCCTCATTGTGACTTTGAGATAAAGAACAGCAATAAAAGCACTGTTCTTTTGCTTTTTTGTGTGTTTTGCTGTGCATGTACTGCCTTTGTGTCATGGAGGGATACCCCATATCCTTTGTTTTTCTTTTATCACCCCGTAAATTGATAATAGATTTGAAAAATGAGTGAAACTTTTGAGTAAAATATTCCTGTATATAAATATAAATAAAAGACCATTTGTACTCAGGAATCATCAGTAGGCAGATGGTTAGAAAAACGCTTTTCAAAAACACATGACGTATTAGTGCAGTACGCAGTTCCAAAGTTAAGCATTCTTTTACTAGTATTTGGATGTCCGGCAAATGAAAAACGCTTGCGTGTTAAACTGTTGAAATTCTTTAAAATGACGAGCATTTTTAGCAAATCTCTATTATTCTCAGCACTTGTTTTCTATAATATGTCCCCTCTTCTCGCTTGAGCAGCTGTGTGCTTGAGAAATATTCTAACAAGGTGTTATGAAATAAGAAAATTTAAAGGAAAATGCGAAAACCTTTTGGTCCCAACTTTATGACTTGAAAATTTGTGCCAACTTTAGGGGTGAGAACGGTTTTATAAATATCCCCGGTCATCACACCCTCAGTTGTAAAATATTTTTTCGCCATACTTGCTTTGTTTCATTTGTTTTAAATGTTAATTGTGTGTACGTAATTAAAAAAGAAGCTATCCGAATGTTTTTTAGAAACGTAGAAAGACAATTAATATCACAATCAGCGAACCCTGTATCTGGATGAAAAGATTGGAGATTGAGAGAAGAGACATCAATAAATATTCTTTATTGGTAATTATTTTTTTTCTTTTATGTATTATTCTGTAAAAACTCTTCAAGACACCAAGCTTATACGCGCGTTTCGTCTACATAACAACATAAGATTCTTCAGATTGATATGTAATAATCTTCAAAGAAATCTTTTTTGGTATTTAACGCACACTCAAAAGTTGACAAATCAATGATTGAATACAATACAGTTGTTGGTCAACAAAATTTAGCACATTCATGTAACATTCTTCAGATTTTCACGAGATATTATTCTGTAAGATATAACTATTTTATTTTATGAACTTTACATGCTTTCCTGAGGGCTTCAAGTTCTTGCATTCAATGCAAAGTAACAAAATCTCTCAAAATAGCCTCATTTTGAAATCTTGTCACTATCATTAAGATCATTTAGATACATGAATGAGCTACACCCTTACATGTCCTTTTACCTCCTGTTTGGTGACTACATGTATGTTTTAAGTAAATGAAAATTTATATCTAACATTGACATATATAAAGAATAATACTGAAATTCTATATATTCTATTATTAGAAAAAAAAAACCTCAAAGGCCATGAATATATAGACCTATGGATACGTATCTTTAACTGATGTACATTTGTCCAACATGTGTTCTTATGATGAATGAATACACTGTCTTGAATAATTTACAAATAATACATTAAAAACAGGAGCAACTGTCAATAATACGTTTTTAATTGTGACAATTGATTTTGTGTATTTCAAGGAATTTGATGTATGAAAATATTCAAACGTAAATGAAAATCACATGGGACATTTTAAATCAGAATCCATTAAACACCGGGAGAACTTCATGTCTGGTGAAGCAAATTTGTCTACCAACATATTGGGTGAATATAAAATGTATAACTAATTTATTGTAACTCTCGTGTGCAATTTAAAGTTACATTCATTTCAAAACATTCACTTAAATTTAACCACATGATGCACTTTACTTGTTGTACGTTCTGATTTGTAAAAGTTCCATTTCAAAGAATTAACAAATTATGCATGCATATTTTTATGCATATCAGGTGAAGCTCTCAACAAAAACCTAAATTCCAGTCGTGTGTTTTATAATATAATGTATGACTAATTAATTATATATAAAGATTAATTAAATTTTTTTTTATCTACAAATTTACACGTGAGATTTACATTTTAAGTCTACTATATATTTATAAAATATACAATTTACAAAGATACAACAAAGGTTATATCACGAATTTACATTAAAGATAACCTAATATGCACAAAATTGGTTTTTCTGTTGACATACCATGTTAATTTGTGAGATGTAATTGCACGATGTACATGTATATTGATAAAAGTTATATATGAAATTAGCATTTTCTTTTAAATCATATTGAATACTTTTACAAAGTAAAAAACTGCTCCAACAGAGTTATGAGGAACGACTAAAATCGACAATAAATTAGTTTGACGGTAACCATCACGAATTGGATGCCCGATACGATATATATGTGTCTCTGAACACTTGCGATGTGGTGTCCATTCTTAGCTCTTTTGATACCATAATATTCGTGTAATCTGTAATGTTACCGATTTTGTTCTATTCCCGATTGTGGTATTTTTACTGAGTTGGGATTCGCATGGCGAGATTCATGCATAGCAGAAGTTGTTTACCATATCAATGTGCTTTTATTTTTGTTTTTATTACTTTGATTAGTCTTCTTAATAGACTTATAAGATTTAAACATCTGTATAATACTCTTGCCTGAAATATTCAGAATTTATAATTGGGCTTTATAAGAAGAATAAACATAACTTCGGATTCCCCAATATATATGATGTCCTTTTACCATGTTTACTGCATCACTTCATATTTTCAGATATTTTCTTGCTGCTAATTCCGTACAGTTCAAAACATTTGCTTGTATTCAATTTAGTTATGTTCAGTAGCTTTTCAGACAATTTAGTATACTATTGATGTGTAAAGGTTAATAACTATTGAACAGTGTGAACAAATGCAGAGGAAATCTTAATTTACTGCAAGTAAATTATCAGAACAGTACTCTATTTACTTCTCCTGCATATGGGATATACATTTCCTTACTCATTCGGTATTCAAGAGCTTGCAGCTGCTACTCAGACTTTATGAAACGTCACCAGTGTCTGCTTAGAAAGTTGATGAGCCAAGGTTATGTCAAAGAACGTTTCGTCCTGTTTAAAAAAAAGTTCATTGGAAGATACAAAGACCTTGTTGATAAATATTCCGTATCAACTTCACAAACAATACATGATGTCTTGAAGTATAGATTCTAGGTACTGACGTTGTTTATCATCTTAATTACTTGTTAAGGTTCTCCTTTTTTTCTCCTTGTATATTTATAACCTTTACTATTTATCCATTTTTTATCATATACTAATGACGTGGATCGATACTTATACACTCCGCCATTGTGCTATAGTCAATTTTGAGTTCTTGTTTTTAATTTTTGCTTATGTACTTTGTCTATATGACATTTTGTATTTCTTTGTTGAAATAGTTATTTCTTTTTATAGTGATTAAGATTATTTTATAATGTTGACTGCTGTATCCCAATTTTTGACATTTTTACCTATTATGTTTGTTTCGCTCACACATTGTTGTCAATATAATGGAATTCTATATGACAGTCATACACGTGAGAGGTTAGCTAGCTGAAAACCAGGTTTAATTCACCATTTTCTACATAAGGACATGCCTGTATCAAGTCAGGAATATGACAGTTGTTTTCCATTCGTTTAATGTGTTTGAGCTTTTGATTTTGCCATTTTATAAAGGACTTTCCGTTTTTGAATTTCCCTTGGAGTTCGGTATTTTTGTTATTTTACTTTTAAGCGCAGTGGATAACACTAGTAAATGAATTTATCTAAAACGGTCATTTTGATCGTAAAGGGAAACTTCGCAAAAAAATAAAAAAAATGATATTATGTTCATTATGTATAAAAAAGCACAAATTCATAAATATTAACGTTTCATTCCACTAGATAAGAGATCAGCACCGATTTTAAATTGAGATTATTAATTCTCTATATGTCGCCATCTTGACGGCTTGCCGATAAAAACACAGGTGATATCTATAACCTACAAAGTACCAAAACAATCAGGGACTAACGTAGTCGTAATTCAGTGTCGAAATCACATGTCAGGCCGCGGTACGGTTGTTTTAACCCGAAAAGGTAATGCCAAAAGCAATCCCAGTTTCCCGGATCAAAACAAAAATA